CCTTATTCGGATGGGATTAGTTTGATAAATTATGCAATTATAACCAGAGCTTCCCAGTAATTTAATCCTGTCCGAATCTGCCACATCAGTGATTTTCCAGACTGCACAAGCTTCTCTCAGTGTTCCAAGTCCTGCTTAATGCCCCTTTAACTACCATTGTTTCTCAAGTTTAAAGGGGACATCAGGAAATCACAAGACGTGCTGTACTTATTTACTCATCAACTTATTCAGAGAGATAACACTTGCTAATGGATTTTAGATCATTATTCTCTCGAAGAAAAAAAAAAGAAAAACTAGACTAATGAGCAAGACAAAAAACTTTGCCACATATTCATGTCATTCACTCTGTGATTGCAATGCATAAACGTTCAAAATCATCTCATAAGTTCAATGTTATTTTTATACAGTTTTATTTGCTTGCTGTGGTTCTTGCAATGAATTTCATCCTTTAAATTCAGTCAATATTTTGTGATATTCGTTCTAGTCACTTTTACTTTGAAATATAATTTTACACAAAAAATACTATTTTAGTTGACTGTTAAAAAATAATGAAAACTTGTTTAACTGTAACAGACCAAACTTTATCCCATTAAAAAAAAAACATTTTGGTCAATTAAAAAAATACATTATAAAAATCAAATGTTCATATTTCAAAATGTATATATTTAAACAAACAAATCAAACACATTAAAATGTATTAACAAACAAATCTTTTTCTGTACTTTCAAGACTGTTTTTCTTCACTAATGGCAGCATTCTACCAGTCACGTTAAGCCCAGCTGAAGAAGTTCCTGTCTTTTTTAATTACCATCTAACTGACTTTCAACAGTGTGATTCCTCAGTCCTTCTCTCCCTCCCTTCCTTTCTTTTGTCTCTCACACACACACAATGAACTCCTCCGCTATTCATCCAAACTTCTGTGAACTTTGTTGAGGACAATCTACATATATGTCGTCAACATGGTCTGAAAAATTGGGAGGAACACTTAATTATAAGACTTACTAGCTTGCTCCTGAATGTTAATGATGTTCTGTCATCTCATTAATATTCAATAAGCCCTGTAGTCTTACCTGATTGCTTGTTGTAAAAGGATGCTTAGTGCTTAAAGCAATAAGCCTAAAGAGGCCATGCATTACAGTGATTTTACTGTGCTTAGGAGGAATTCTTAGGCATGACACAAAGCGGAGTGACAAAATGTAATGAAAAGCATCACATGTCTCCTGTCTCCTTCCATTATTTGGTATTACAGAAGGATATGGCAGGAGAAAAAAAGCGGTCTTCCATTCTGTCATAAGAGGGTAAATAATATTATAGTGGGAGCAGTAAATAACCATGTACAGTAAAACACTGAGTAGTGATGGAGAACTCTGACTGTTAACTGGATTTGTATTCTCAGAATGTAGGTCTCACTCCTTTTAACATTACATGTCCATTCAGCTCTCAGCAATCACCCCTTTCATTATCACCATTACAGCAGCCCAGCAGTTATAGTCTTAATTTAATGTGCTCGTTTATACCTCTAATGCATTTAATTCCTACACCAGCGCCACAGGAGCACAGTCAAAAAGAAGAAAATAATTATTAAAAAAAAAAAATAGTGGAAAAATTGCCAGTGCTCTGGAGAAATGCTCTTCTTGAAACGGCTGATTTTTTTGTATATTTTTACAACATAATTTTAATTATTTCGTAATTTCAATCTTATATATTTTTTAGGGTGACTAGTATTACAGATAGTCTTTAGCTAACTCTGTGCATTTACAATAATATTTATTACTGTCTTCGTTAAATAAACTAATTTTAAAAAAATATTTGGTGTCTGCACTGTTTTATAAGTTCTGTAAAGGAACTATGCAAATCAGATAACAAAATAAATCACGGGCAAAAAATATATATAAATAAATTAATTGTCCTGCTGTGTCTGCATTAAAAAAAGAACGACAATAACTTAAATACTACTTTATTACTACTAACTACTAAATACTTTATAACATATAAAATATATTAAATAAAATTGAAAGCTTAGTGAAAAAAAATCCAAAGTGGCCAATGCCGATTATAAACATGTTGTACTTGGTGAAATCACGGTCACCGCCTGTCTACTTGTCACTTTCTTATTAAACTTTGTGTTGGGACGCTGCTCCTCGTATTCATCTGTCTTCATTGCAACAACCCATGACAATGCATAAATATTTATCTATTCTTTGTGTGCTGTGTATTTTTATGCTTATAGTATCATGCTGTTAGCTTAGCAACATGCTAAATCAATCTTTATTAAAGATGGCTGCAGATCTGAATGAAAGTTTGCAGTCAATTGTAAAAAAGGGATGGGATTTAAGCAAAGGAAGCGATCTGAGAAGTCCAGCATACATCACCAGAGAGAAGTCTGTAATTTCCCCAAAAGATCTGAGTTATGATATTTTGATTTATTAAATAATAATAATAATAAATTAAACATAAATCATATACGAGGAATCCTTTGCAAAAAAAAAGAGCAATAACATGCATTTAGAAAAAAGATATGATGAATTTTCATTTTCACTTCAATTGCCGATCACATGTCGAAATGCTATGCTATGAGTTGCTATGTAGAACTTTCCAAATGTAGGACAATTAAGTTGATGTCTCAAAAAGCAGCTGCCTATGTAGGCATTGATGTAGCACACTAGGTCTTGGAACAGAGCTACTGTATGATGTTGAAACAGGTCTGTCATTATTGCTAATAGCTAATTGTTGCTTAGACTACATGCTCATCTAGACAAAAACTTTGAGTAGCTGTTGACTTCATTACAATGAAGCCACCAAACACATGACGAAGAGTTTGACAATAACAACTTCTTTACTCTGTCCCCTCCCTCCATCTGTACTTGTGTGCAATCTGAAATCTCAAACATGAGTCTCTCGCCTCTTCCCGCTGTTCCAGCCTCCCCTCTCTATTGGCTGAACATGTTTGCAGGGCCGCAATGTTGAGAGCAAATCCAGGTCCCGTGTCAGAATGGATGACAGCGGACAAGCTGAAGTCTGGGGGACAGCAGCAGTCTGGAAGCAAAGGTGTGACATTTTGACAAGACGCTTTTGTCACAGTAAGTCAGTCTGTGACTCAGGGTCAAGGCCATCTCCACAAGGAGCCATCTCTTCACACAACGCTGTTCGCGAAGAGTTCAGCCACATCGTCCCATTAGAGCACCTGCTGATTGATTCACCAGAGGTTTGATCTATCTAAAAGCATTTGCTTTTGCATTCAGGTTTTTGTTATCACTAGACACCCCGTTTTCTTTCGGGGCTTTATTTTGTAGCCGTTTAAAACATCACTGTCACATGTGGTTACACAATCTGACAGCTCATCCGATAGTACAGCTCTGAAACAAGAAATCCTAAGTGAGAGAACAAACACACACGGTTGTTTGTCTAGCACAGTAGAGACTTTCAGACTTTGTATTGTTTCATATTGTATTGTTTTTGATATTCTTACAATTACAACTGTACAAAAATAACAGTTTTCAATGTTAATCTTAGGGCTTGGTAAAAAATATCGATAAATAAATTTTAATCGATTCTCATTTTTACGGAACAATATAATAATGTGGAGTGACAGATCGCTGTGAGCGCGGCGCGCCTCAGTTCAGTAAAAGCGGCAGCGCGAGGCGCATGTGAACTGATCATCTCCTCCACATTAATACCAGTTTCAGCACAAAATAATCATGACTAAACATCCGAAGGTAAGTTAAAGGAAAGAGCACAACTTTACAATCCTGTCTCATGTAATCTCTCAATTAGTGTTTCAGCCATGCAAAAACGTCAATATAACGGCTTGTAAACAATGTGTCACGTAACGTCACATTTACCTCAGAAAAAACATATTCAGTGACCATAAATTCATTAGTAAGCTAGAAAAATAAACTGTAGAGAGGGGCATTTTGCTAAATATATGCACCATATAACATATTCATTATAATTTTTACTGTTCTTCAATGTTTAATTTATGTTTGAATAAATTCATCAAGTTTTAGACAGCCACCATTTAAATGTTTATATTTTAAAAAAAAAACAATTGAAGTAGAAGCATTATTATGTAATTGTAACTTTATTATTTTAAAAATTACACTTCATTAAGTGTTTTGTGTTCTTCATTAAATGTGGCATGTACTGTACCTGATATGTATCCAAAATAATCTATATCGAATCGAACCAGTAATCAAATCTAATTGCAAGCTTGTGAATGAGAATCAAATTGTGAAATTTAAACTTTTTATTAAAATATATTAAATTATTTTTACATTTTTTAAATTTATTCCTGTGATGGCAATGTTGAATTACTTCAGTCTCCAGTGTCACATGATCCCTTAGAAATCATTCTAATACACTGATTTGCTGCTCAAGATTCAACATTTATTATTATCAATGTTTAAAACAGTTGTGCTGCCTAGTATTTTTGTGGAAACTGTGATACATTTTTTTCAGGATTATTTATGAATAGAAAGTTCAAAAGAACAGCATTTATTTGAAACAGAAACCTTTGGTAACATTATAAATGTCAAACCATCTCTTTAGATCAATTAAATGCATCCTTACTGAAAAACATTAAGAGAGAAAATCTTACTGACCCAAACTTTTGAACAATAATGAATATATACAAAAATATATATTATAAAAATATACATATTAAATATACCAAAACAATTCTATATTAAGAATAGCAATAAAAAAAATAATATATATTAAATTATTATTAACAACAACAATAATATTAATAACAATATAATTTTGCTGTCTTTAAAGCTCCACTATACTCCAACCGAGAGAACAGACACATCATTTACAGTGGACCACATGTCTTCAACAATTAAAACACTGTAAAAAGTCACAAAAGACCAGAAAGCATGAACAAACCCATCCGAGACATGGCCACACATACACATAATTGCTTTATCAAATATTTATGCATGAAGTTGGCCTGGTCTGCATGTGAGTGGCCGTTCTATGCTTCCCTCCTAGGTGCTCACCTATGTTTCCCCTTCATCCTGGTTTGCACACATTAGCATGGCGCTGCTGAAGCTCGCTGGCGGCGCATTACTTCAGCTCTAGGCACCCAGCGGGCTGCCCACACTGACGCTGATGGGTATTGGCAGCCCCTGGCCACTAAGAGAGGTGCTGTAGTCCAACCGCCAGCAGGGGGTGGTGTATAGAACACGCAATCACACTTCCGCAGAAAGACACACACACAAGCAGATGTACAAACACACCTGGGTCTGCCAGATGCTCAGCTTAACCCTCTGCCATTATTCAATTTGCTACAGACCTCTATTGGCTGAGCTCTGAGGGCCGTAATGCCAGAGGGGAGAGAGACATGCTGAAATTAGCCTCTCTGAAAACATATAATCCATTTTTACTGAAAAATAGTAACACTTAGGTCAAGCTACAATAACAACATTTGTGATAAACAACACAACAGTCTACAGCAGCTATTGTTTGTTTGGTCCTTCTAGACTCCCGTTTGTGACGGTTCTCTTGAATTAAGACATTTAATACATCAGTACATTCCAATTCGCATGCTACCCATAAATAGTATGCCAGATTAAAATTAGCATGTTCCAAATTATAGTTCACTGAAAATGCACCAGAAAAAGTATATTATTAGGGCGCCCTGGGCATACTATTTTCAAAGTGAGCATCCATGGTAATCCAGCCATGGGTAATATTACTCATAACCACTTCCACAATGGAAGAGGGGGAGATTGTGATGGTTCTCTTTTAGCTATTAGAGATGTGTTGAGGAATGCAAGGCTTAAAGGGATAGTTCACCCAAAAATAAAAATTTGATGTGTATCTGCTTACCCCCAGGGCATCCAAGATGTAGGTGACTTTGTTTCTTCAGTTGAACACAAACAAAGATTTTTTTTAACTCAAACCGTTGCATTCTGTCAGTCTTATAATGGAAGTGAATGGGAATCACAGTTTTGAGAGTCAAAAAAACATACACAAACAAAACCAAATTAAACCCTGCAGCTTGTGACGATACTATACTGTGTATATATATATATATATATATATATATATATATATATATATACACAAAAAATTTACATATTAAATATATAAAAAATAATATAATATACAATAGCAATAAAAAATAAAAATAATATATATTAAATTATTATTATTAACAACAACAATAATATTAATAACAATATAATTTTGCTGTCTTTAAAGCTCCACTATACTCCAACCGAGAGAACAGACACATCATTTACAGTGGACCACATGTCTTCAACAATTAAAACACTGTAAAAAGTCACAAAAGACCAGAAAGCATGAACAAACCCATCCGAGACATGGCCACACATACACATAATTGCTTTATCAAATATTTATGCATGAAGTTGGCCTGGTCTGCATGTGAGTGGCCGTTCTATGCTTCCCTCCTAGGTGCTCACCTATGTTTCCCCTTCATCCTGGTTTGCACACATTAGCATGGCGCTGCTGAAGCTCGCTGGCGGCGCATTACTTCAGCTCTAGGCACCCAGCGGGCTGCCCACACTGACGCTGATGGGTATTGGCAGCCCCTGGCCACTAAGAGAGGTGCTGTAGTCCAACCGCCAGCAGGGGGTGGTGTATAGAACACGCAATCACACTTCCGCAGAAAGACACACACACAAGCAGATGTACAAACACACCTGGGTCTGCCAGATGCTCAGCTTAACCCTCTGCCATTATTCAATTTGCTACAGACCTCTATTGGCTGAGCTCTGAGGGCCGTAATGCCAGAGGGGAGAGAGACATGCTGAAATTAGCCTCTCTGAAAACATATAATCCATTTTTACTGAAAAATAGTAACACTTAGGTCAAGCTACAATAACAACATTTGTGATAAACAACACAACAGTCTACAGCAGCTATTGTTTGTTTGGTCCTTCTAGACTCCCGTTTGTGACGGTTCTCTTGAATTAAGACATTTAATACATCAGTACATTCCAATTCGCATGCTACCCATAAATAGTATGCCAGATTAAAATTAGCATGTTCCAAATTATAGTTCACTGAAAATGCACCAGAAAAAGTATATTATTAGGGCGCCCTGGGCATACTATTTTCAAAGTGAGCATCCATGGTAATCCAGCCATGGGTAATATTACTCATAACCACTTCCACAATGGAAGAGGGGGAGATTGTGATGGTTCTCTTTTAGCTATTAGAGATGTGTTGAGGAATGCAAGGCTTAAAGGGATAGTTCACCCAAAAATAAAAATTTGATGTGTATCTGCTTACCCCCAGGGCATCCAAGATGTAGGTGACTTTGTTTCTTCAGTTGAACACAAACAAAGATTTTTTTTAACTCAAACCGTTGCATTCTGTCAGTCTTATAATGGAAGTGAATGGGAATCACAGTTTTGAGAGTCAAAAAAACATACACAAACAAAACCAAATTAAACCCTGCAGCTTGTGACGATACATTGATGTGTAAAGACACGAAACGATCGGTCTGTGCAAGAAACTGAACAGTATTTATACAGTTTTTTTACCTCTGATTCACCGCATTGTCCGAACAGTCCTGAGGGCGTCTTTCAAACAGGCAGGAACACACACGTAGGGAGAGGATTGACGAACACTCAATACCAGACAAAGAAACTAGAACGGGAAACACTTTAAATACACAGGACTTGACGAGAAACACATGGGATCAATAAACATAATCAAACATGAGGGGGAAAACAGGGTCATTGAACATGTGGGGAGCAAAACACAAGACATAGGACAGACTTGGTGATTTGTGGATTCAGATATGTTTAATTAGACTGAACTAGAATTAACTATTTTCTATTCATACTTTTTGGTATTGAAGGAATTATAATTAACATTTCTCTCACTTCATGCGCCATCTTGGCAAAATTGACCTGCTTTTCTGTAATAACCTTCACATCAGGAGCTAACTGATGATGATATCAAATGCCAAAAGGTTCAACCAAAAGAAAACAAGATTTGATTGTAACAAAATTGGCCAATTTAGACAATGGTTGCACCTGTGAGTTTCAGGCCAGAACAAAACCTGATTACATTACACACTTTACTTGTAACATATTGCACCAACATTGACTGGCACAGCAGTTTTTATAAACACATGAACTTAAAAGTTAGCCTAAGTAATAATACATTTTAAAAAAGTATGCATCTTGATCAGTCTGCTAATGGTGTTGGTGGTAACAATGAAATTCATCTGCAACCAAGAGCAAGACAATTTCTGCCACTGAGCCGCTGGAGCTGCACATCTGCAGCCTATCACTTAGACATGACAGACTAAAATAAGCAAGTCATGAGCGCACCACCCCCACATCTGTCCTCCACAGCCACACAGATGGCTAAATTACAGCCTACAAAACAAATGTGGCCCAAAAAATTTGAAAAATCAATTATATTGAAGTATATAGACTTTTAGAAAATAAGAAACCCACGAGGGCCCATCTATTTGTCTGATCTGTGAGACTATAAGAGTTATTGGATAACTTCTGAGTAATAGCATTCAATTTTCTCCATTATGTTACCTAATAATCAGAAGGGTGTTAACATCATTTTCCTCAGTGCTTATGGCTACTGGCCGTTTAGGTAATATCTTTAAGAGTTCCTTATTGAAATTGGTTGAAATAGATCAGTTCCACACTAGCCATTAACAGAGACAGACGTAGCCCACAGCAGCCCTGCCGAGTGTTTGACAGACTTAGAAGCATTAGTGGAACAAAAGGACATCATTTAGTCTGACCACTAGCCCAGCATGAGATAATTGTACACTGTGAAAGAGAGGTCCGGGAGGGTCTGTTCTCATAGGCTACTGATACATGTTTTGTACAATAAGCCAATACGGTGTTAAATTAGCCCAATCCTGCTACTTCCGTGCTTCTAATATCGCCCAGAGGACTCTTTTGCCAACCTCAGTGCCAATACTGCTGAACCCAACCACCACGAGAGCAGATACTCCGGAAAGAAACCGATACCACAGATACAAACGTGCCAAATGACGTATGAGTTAATAAGTAAAATCCACATTGAAACAGATCTACTGTAATTACCCACAGAAAAGAAAAATAACTCTCATGCATTGTTTGAAGTGTTTGCAGTAGTGGCTGTGTGTGTGTGTGTGTGTGTGTGTGTGTGTGTTTGGAAGATAAAGAGGGACTTTTTAACACACCTGACTCTAAATATTGATAACTTAAATTCTGTCACAGGTTAGTCAGGAAGCAAATATAAACAAAGCATTTCTGACAATACTGCCACTGTGCTGCACGTAGAATAAGCGAAAAACACTGGAGAGAATTTTTTTTTTTTTTTAGAAATTAATTTACACAGTATAATTTGTTGAACCAAACTAAGTCAAAATCAAATTCGCTATTATTATTAATATTGTTATTGTTAATATTATCATCATCATTATAAATACATTTAAATAAATAATAATTTTATCTTTTTAACTGTTTATTTTTTATTGATGTGACTAGGATTTATAAATAAATAGTGTTACTGTAAATTCTAATAGCAATATTATAGCACTGGCTGTTTGATGATAGTGTATGATAACTGGTCTTTCATATCTAACCAAACTCATGTAAACATCACATGAATTGAATGATAAAAAATTCCTCACATTTAGAGAGGGGACTTTGACTCCTTATTCACAAGTCCACCACACGCAACTGATCTATGTACCGAGGCAAATCGGATGAACATCTGGTGTTTGTTTAAAAGAGGTGAAATGGATTGAGGTCTGTGAGAGGCTGTTGTGGGCTGTGATAACATCGTCTCAACTGTGCTCGGATCTCTGTGGACTTCTGTCTGCTTCCTTAATTTGTCTGGGAAATTGGCCAAAAGGAATCATCCTGATGAACTGGAGCTCTGTGGCACTTCATGCTTTAAACGTAAATTGAAGCGAAATGCGCTGTCAATTCACATTTGGAGAAAAAGCAAGAACAGTATGCAGTCAACAACAGGTTTATATGAGAGTACAGTCAACGCTTTGAGGAATTTTATAATTATGTGAATCATGTACCTACAGTGTTTCATCCTATATTCAAAGTAATGGC